TAATTGTCTTGGACAAGATTGTTGAGTGACTTCACTTGTAGTTCCAAATAATGCTGGAGTATAGCATTAAATAGAATGCAACATTCTTTCAGAGAAGGTACTGTTTTATCAAGGTGCAGATATTGTCACAAACAATACTTGGTAGGAGCTCTTGGGTTTGTACAAGGGTTCTAGCAAAAGTTCTTGGAACAAAAATGGTGTCTGATCCAGTTGAAAAAAGTATTCTTTAGGGCAAACATATTCTTTGGCACACAAAAAAATCAGCCCTGTTTGATAATTTTTTGCAAAATTCACCCTGGCAGAGTTTTGTGTTACACTCAACAGATGAGGCACCCTTCCTGAAGTTTTTTTTTGTGGCCCAGCTTTCTCCTCAGAATTCTTGAGATAAACTTGGCATTCTTTCTAAGGGTTGCCTCCAGGTCATCTAAGTCAATTCCCCCATTTTCATGGACAGCCGCCTTATTCACAGCCACCACATTGGGGCTAATGTGGTGGCTCTGAACCAATGTGGAGACTGTTTTCATGCTGTTGCCCTGTAAATTTTCAAAATGCAGAGGAAACAGGAATATGTTGTGGTTAACAGCTTATTATGTGAGGGATGATGCCAGTTCTATGGATTTTTTCATTTTATGATGGAGAAGTGATCTACTGGAAAAATTTCTTCCAAATGCATGCAGCAGGACTGCAAATTTTCGTTGAAAGGAAGGAAATAATTTTTTAAGCTTTCCATAGTTGGAATATTTGTGGTATCAAAAATGTGGACAATGGTGGAAGATTAGATCTTTTGACCAGCCAGTACTGGCCCACAGACTATCTGCGGATTCCCAAGAACTGCAGAACGGTACTTCACTAATTTTGCAAAAATTGTAATCAATAAACCATGCAGAACTTTTCAACATTTGGAAACGATGGGTGCTAGAGTGGGTGACGTAAATTTCATACTAATCTATCATAAATTCACAATTACGTGCTGAAACCTGGGGAATATGCAGCGGGTAAAGTTAATCACGATCTTCTGTTGCAATGCCTGCATATTCACAATGCAACCTATTAATAAATTGTTTCCTGAACTTCAAAAATTATTTATCCATGGATCTGTATTGTTATGTTGGGTCTGTATATGCGAAATGAGTTTCATGTGATTGAGAATTGCATTTTTGAGGTACTGTTGTGTGGAAGGTATATTAAAATTTCCAGGCGTTCATCCCTAGCATGATATGAAGAATTTTGATTTCAGGGTGCCATGCTTGTATGCTACTATAGTCAGCATCTGATTGCCGTTCATATCGTCCACCATTGTTTCTGTCCTCCGTCCCTTTGATGCGCTGGTGGGAGCGCCTGTAAATAAAACCTGCATCCTGTTTTGACAACGCGGAAAATATGTTATAGGACGGGTAGGATTTAGTCGAAGTCGGGGGTGGTGCGACCTACACCGTCCGACTGACTGGGATTTATCTTATCTTCGCCGAATGCTACCGAAATCGTTAGTTCGTGCTTCATCTGTGCTCCGCTTGGTGCTATGCATTTTTCTACTCTGGTTGCTGTTCTTGGCAAGAATTTTTAGATGGTCCAAAGAGGAAGTGCCTGTCCCAATTATCATTGAAGTTCAGCCAGAAACCGTGAGTACAGTACTGAGCTACTATTCCGGAGGAGTATCTATATTTCGTGGGGTTGCTTTTTTAGGTCCAGGTCCAACACATGCCATTGAAATGGAATTCGAACCTTGCATTTTCGCAGTTGGTTTTTGAAGATGACATTACCTCAATCCGCCATCCCCAGGATGCTTGCATTCCTCCGCAGTCTCGTTCGACGATCCCTTTTGTTACCGTATTTGTCCCTTCTGCGCCGCTGAACGTCTTGCGCCGAAATTCTATTCGTGGAACGTGGGGAAGTTTCGGACGTCGCTCCGACATTCGTGTATTTTTTGTCATTGGTCTCGTGAGCAATGACTCTGTGCTTGATGATGTGATTGAGCAGGAAAGTCAAATCTTTCGTGACGTACTGCGCCCTGAGGTTGTTGATACTTACAGTAATTTGACACGGAAAGTAGTTGCTGCCTTCGAATGGGCTGGAAATTGCTCGGTATCCGAGTTCTACCTGAAAGCGGATGATGACATGTTCATCAACATTCCTGGGCTAGTAGATTTCTTCTTAGCGCGCCGAAAATTGAAGAATGTGATCTTCGGCCGTCTGTTGACTCGACTTCACCCTGTTCGTAACAAAGAATCCAAATGGTACGTTCACTGGAGAGAATTCCGCGGAAACAAGTTTCCGAATTTCGTTACCGGACCTGCTTACGCGTTCACGTCGGATGTCCTTCCGAAACTTGTGGCCATGGCCAGAGCCACACCTTATCTGAAACTCGAAGATGTGTATGTCACTGGAGTTCTAGCTGATCGAGCAGGCATCGAACGCAGAAACGAGCGAAAGTTTGGTAACGTTAACCCGAATTTTGAAAATATGTGCGAATTCAGTCAGTTGATCAGCGTTCATGAGATGAATCGTACCCAGATGTTCCTAGCCTGGAGCATTACCATGAATATTTTTGACAATTGTCCCTGTGATGCGTGTCCATCTCCTTTCTTCCGCCGATTTCTCCCGTTTCTCAGTCTTGATTTGGAAGCCGAAGACGGAGACTGAGTTCATTCCTACTTTTTTCCTCCTGGCTCTTACGACGCGTTTGTTATTTCGGTTATGTTCTACGTTTCGAAGCTTCTGCTGATCATGCTTTTGTTCTGAATTGCTTGTCACAGGTTTCCTCCGAACTAAATCATGCGCGTTTTTCTTTGGAGTGTTCTTATCTTAGCATCGCTACTGTTCTATGTGCGAGGATTGGATGTGGAAGANAGAGGGAAGGTACAGAGATAACAGGAAAGTAGGTACTGAGATAACAGGAAAGTACCAAAAAATGTATCAACTTATGAGAGACGAGTCACAAATTTTTATTTTCAGCAACAAAAAATAATTGTGATGTGAAGGTTTTTTATGAATTTCTGAAAGAATGTCTGGGTTTGTTTTACACTCAGAGTCTTTGTTGCTCAATTAAGTGTGGTAAAATTGGTAATACAGTAAAATCTGTTGGAAGAAAGCTGTTGAGAGTTTGGGACTAGGAAAATACCTTTGTTGTAACGCCTAACTTAGTATAAAACGATGTGAATAACATCATTCCTTCAGGGACTTGCAAAACGACTTCGTTGTGACCAATAATTCGTTATACAGTACTGTACTGAGATTTAACTGAACCGTCTGAATAATTCTTGAAATTTCAGGATGGTAATCCCTATGCGGGTTCCGTGTTCAACAAAACTGTACCGATTGTCGAAGTGGATGATGGACTAGACGGAGAAACTTTCTTCTTGTACGTTTTCCTCGCGGGTCTCTTGGTCCTTGTCGGAATAGCAGCTCAGCAGTTCTTTGTGTGGGGCAAGAGGAAAGCTATAGCGGGGAAAGGAAGCAGTTCCCGGAATGAAACTGCGCCGAAGGTGAAAACGCGCACGTTTTCTGTGGAAACTGGAACGAAATCCAGTGACGATGAAGTTGATTTTGATTGGCTGCCGCGAGAAACTCTGGCTGTCATGAGTGAGTAGTTCTTGGCATATTTTCCGTTTGATTTGAGGCTGATTTCAAATGAAGAGTAAGGTATGTTCTCTTGATGATTTTATCTTGTGTACAGTACTTGCTTTTTTTGCGTTAATATTTTTTTTTCGTATGCATAATGATGAATTCATACTTGTTCATTCCGGCATGTCCTTGGAATTCCTTCAATCATATTCGATTTCTCCGTTTCGCAGGAAATAATCCGAAGAAGCAGTCGAAAGCCAAGGGGAGGAAATCACGGAAGAATGGTGGAAATGACGGGTCGAAGAGTACCTGAGAAGTTTGAACGAAGATCGGGGTTTGAAAGTGTTCCTAATAGCTAGTCACGTATTCGCTTGTCCGGTCCTCTGGCATTTCAGTGAGAAACCGTCGCACCTGATCTCACCAAAAAAATAAAAATACGTAACCTCGGTTGAATCAAGTCATGCTAGTCCTGAAATTTTGTTTGTTTTGTTTTTGTTCATGAACGTTGTTATTCTTCCGGGAGGAAGGAGTAAAGCTTGTGTTCCCCGTTGATTTCAATGACTGATTATGGAATTCATTGATTTTTTTTCGCTGACTTGTTTCATCGTGATTCGTTTTTTTTTTCCTTCTGGTTTACAGATAGTGATTTGAGTGATATAAGTCGTGCCCTAAGACTGCAAGTTTTTCGCAGGTGAGATTTTTTAATTCGTATTTTATTTGGATTTCTTACTGTTCAGTCAGCGTTTGTAAATGATTGATGTTTTAATTAAGCCTGGAAAATGATCGAAAATTTTCATATGGCACGGAATTCAATTTTCAAGTTCAAAAGTCGACATAGTATAAATTCTCAATGCCTGAAAAGGCAGAATTGCATTGAAATACTGTACTTGCTTTTTGATACTTCGAACCACTGGGTGGTATCTGGACATTTTTAACGTACATTTTTAACGTGTGTGCTTCCACGTCAGTTTTCATTCCTCAGGAGAAATTCAAAAAGTTGAAGTTTGCAGCTGTTGTTGGAATATTATTTTGCCCGATTTTTTGAAAATGCTCGTGTATCTGAGGAACGTTCCGAGGGAAAAGCTTTATTTTCTTTTTTTTTCCGTGGGTGCCAACGTCCTCGAATTTTGGCAGGTATCCAGAATTGTGATACCATTCGGGGGTTCCTTTCATTTTGTCGGTCGATGTTCAGTCGTAACTATATGCATCAGTGTGACCCGTACATGACTAGGTTTCTTCGCAAAAATTGAACCTAATCACATAATTTTTTTTATTTATGTGTTTAGGTCCTGTGATCACGCCTGAAGATGAAGGGTCTTTCATTGGCCAGCTTGAAGCACCATCCCGCTGTGAGTTCATGGAGCTGAACACGTATTCCATTTTTGTCTAGGCTAAAATGGCTTTTCGATCCGTGATCTTGTTTTTTGATTCTGTTCCTGGTGATTTTCGAAGCTTTTATGTTCTTGAGATGGAATTTTAAATTTTTGGTGACAGTCTTTCGATTGTGATTTTTGCATTGTAGAAGTGTTTTGCGGAAATCTGATTTAGTCGCGATCATGCGATCAAAGCTGATCTATTTCAACTGAAGACGTCCTCGAATTGTTTTCCGAGTCTGTTTGCATTCTATGCGGAATTATTTACGCACGACTGCATCTGTTTAAAAATTTTTCATATTAGATTTCAAAATACGGCTTCGGTTTCCTGCTCAAATTGAGAATACCATTCACGACTGCCCGTTTTACATCGCGTAAAGCGAGCGTTTAAGCGTCGGAAGTGGAATTAATTCGATGCTTCCGCTGAAGTGCCGTACAGTTACAGTGCGTTTTATTGAATAACCTTGTAATTTGATTGTACGACATTCCAGTTGATTCCTTTGTATGCTGCTGTGGGAGCAGGTGTTGTTATGTGCGCACTTTACGTTGGACGCCTGGCGACAAGAAACCCTGACGTGACTTGGAATCGTGTTTCGAATCCGCGTCCATTTGAGATGTACGAGGGAAAACAGTACAAGGTGAAGTGCTTTCTTTTGATGTAATATTTGTGGGAGGATCTTGACTGGAGTATGTGTGCGATTTTGGTTTTTTTTTCCTCGTATCCTTTTATGCGTCTTTCGGAAGGCTATTTTTTTTTTATTAGATAAGAGGCTAAAGAAGTTGGTTTGAGGAGGGAGAAGTGTTTCATGTTGTAAATTTACAATTCGTGAATGAACTGTTTTACAGAAAGATCTCGTTTTAACGGATAATCGCTTAATTGAGGATCACTAGACGAGAGTATGCAGGAATTTTGGTTTGTTTTTTTTCCCCTCTTCACCCTTTAATGTGCCTTTTGAAATATTTCAATGTCTATTTTTATTGGATAAGAGGCTGAAGAAGTTGGGATTGAAGAGGGGAATCGTTTGTTCATGTGAATTTGAATTCGTGAATGAAACACTTCAGAACAAAATCTCGTTTTAACTAATAATCGCTTACAACGATGTTATATATTTAGGTCCCTTTCCAGTGACCATAATTTAGAATGAGTTACTTTATGACGGATGTTTCGTTACAACGAAGTTATTTTACTAGTCTTATTGGCTTCGTTGTTGTGAGATTTTACTGCACGGTGTGTTGGTTGAATCGGTGATGAATATTTTTCCATAAAAAATGTTTCGAAGCATTGAATTGCTGAAATCGTTTCAGATATTATGTGATTTGATCAAACTTCGGTTCTGACGATGCTCATGCATAAACACAGGAGCGAATTAAACTCTGGATGAATCAGTATGAAATTTTTAACACTAATGCTATTTTCTGTGACCTCTTTGCGGACTGATGAAGTACGAAATAATTTCACGAGGACAGAGACGCTGTCGCTGATCGAGAAGATGTCAGTGAACTTCTAGCTGCAGTGTAAAAATTTCTAAAATCGTTGAGGTTGAGCCGAAATCATGTTTTTTTTCGACTGTTGATCGAATGTTTCCTTTCGAAATTGAAGTTCAGAACGATTAAATTTTGAAAAGATGTTTCGGCGGTGCTCAAATTTCAAAATTTTCAGTCGACGAACTCTACCTGATGCTTTTCAAATGTCTGATGTTACTGATCAAGGGTAACCTTGAGCTTCACCACAAATTCCTGAAATCCTTGGGTATTAATCTAAATTATTTTCATGTTTTAGTTTTTATCGAATGTTTCCCTTCGCATTGTGAAAAATTGAAGTTCAGAACGATACAATTTTGAAAAGATGTTTCGGTGCTCCTCAAACGTCTAATTTTCAGCCCAGAAGCTCTGCCGAATGCTTTTAAAATGTTCGTTGTTGCTGATTTTAGGGTGTCTGTAAACCTGTAGCTTCACTGTAAATTCCTGAAATCCTGAGGGATTAACCGAAATTTTGTTTATTCGTAGTGTTGACTGAATTTGTTCCCTTCATATTGTAAAAAAAAAAAAATTAAGTTCATTCCGATTGAATTTGGAAACGCCGCAAAATTCAGATTTTCCGTCGAGAAACTCTGACTAATGATTTTAAAATGTTTGATGTTGCAGTTCATGAAGACCCGGGACGACTTCACGTGCAAGGCTCCGAAATTCGACTGAAAAAATCACACTTGTCATTCACCAAATGTAGTGCTTCGATGCATCGGAACTTCCTGTACGAAGTCAAAAAGAATCAAGTCCTACCGATCGTGGCTTTGAGAGAAATTATTGTGTTGTGAAAAACGTGACTAGTCCTGAAAAAAAAATTGTTGGTGCAATAATCTACTCCCCCCCCCCCCCCGACCTCCCCACCAAAGATGCTTTCTCGGTCGAAAGCTAATCAAAATGTTGTTCAATCCTAGTTATACCAAGTATTGAAATCTCTAGTCGAGGAGGATCGCATGTGTTCCCGAAAAAGTGTTACGATTACCGAGAGTTGTTATGCGATGTTTTCCGGAGGTTGTGTCAACGTGTGACGCATAGACAACTCGTGCTATGTAGAACGTCGATATAAATGCCGCGGTGGATCTGAAGGAATTCGTTTTGAGTTTTTCTTTCCTGTGATGCGGATTGCGTGTTGTTTACTTGTGCGCAGGGAAGAAATTCTCGCGGCACTGGGATTGGAGCTAATATTTGGTCCAATATCCCGCGGCGGAATGGAAGTTGTGTGAACAATTTGTGTCGGTAAGTGGAACGAATTATCGGAACGAGATGCCTTTGGTCGGCCTCTGGTGATGAGATTTTTCTTCTCCCTTTTTCAGTGCGCTGCTTTTATCGTCTCTTTGCATGCCAAAGAGATGGAAAAATATGAGAATAGAAAATCTTTTTTAGGCTCAAATTTCTGCGAGTCCGAGGTCTTGAGAAGTGTGTTCTCGAAGAGTCTAAAATTCTGGGGCCGAGGATTGGCGAAACAGCGTTTTTCCGTGAGAGAATGTTCAAGAATTTTACGTACCTGCCGTTACGGAGATGGGCAGGGATTGATTCCATTTGAGTAATCTGGGATGGGTTGGAATAATGAAGAAAAAACTCACTTCATTCTTGAAACATGCTTCCATGAGCATCACAGAAAGTTCTTCATGGAAACACCACCCCAGGGTATCCATTCGGTCGTGGGTCAACTAGATGTCGCTCAAAGACACAATTTATGGAAGTATGACATGGCATACCATGCACCACAAGGTCCTATCACATAATAATATATCATCATAGGAACACAATTTGAAAGGATCTGAACAGATCAGCAATGAAGATAATGCTCTTTGAGAAATATTACACACAAGTGAATAATGATTTGGCCAAAGGACGTGACAATAATGGCAAACACACAAATGATTCACCCCCTTCAGCATAAAGCCTTGGAGAAACTTACCACGGAGAAGGACCTGAACCAGGACAGAATTACCCTATTCAATTCTGACTCTTCATCTGACCCGGGTTGTGAACAATAAGGATAATTGAAGAACTCCTCCTTTTCACGAACACGACAGTTATTTATTATCAGGTCACACGTAACACACAATAGGTAGTCAGGAGATGTTACAAAGTCAAGAGCTAAGACTGAAGTGCCGAGTCGGGGTTCCTCTCGTCGCCTCCTCCACAAGTGGTTCCGGTGGTGGTGCAATGACCTGTTCAGGTGATGTCGCAAGAGGTGGTACCAATGATGACGCAAGGATAACAGGTGGTTGGGAGTAATCACGTGGGGAGACACGTGGACTCGTCGCCTCCTCCACAAGTGGTTCCGGTGGTGGTGCAATGACCTGTTCAGGTAATGTCGCAAGAGGTGGTACCAATGATGACGCAAGGATAACAGGTGGTTGGGAGTAATCACGTGGGGAGACACGTGGCCGTTTGCCCTTACGCCAGTACGGACGTCTAGATGGCGCTGTGTCAAGTAAAGGGGGACCCTTACTGAATAGACTTGTTCTTCTGTAATACTTAGTGAATTTAAACTTGTTGAAAGAAAATGTAATGTTTGTTGAGGAGTTTGAAACTTCAGGCAGAAAAGGCAGAACACCACCAACTGATTGTGTTTACTCCATTTAATTTCACTTAAATCCAGTTCTTTGCAGCCAGCAAGGTCTATGGAACCCCTGACAAAATTGGAGACCAGTGAAAAACAGTTTGAGAGAATTGTACACAAAATTGTTGGAAATAATTTTCTGTTCAAAAATCTTGTCTTCATGAAATTAAAAAGAACCTTGGCAAACACAAAAATCCTTTACAAACATCTCCAGTGTGTGCAGTGAATTTTGCCACACTGTTAATTAACACCATGCCCTATGAACAACCCAAAATGCAAGTCAGTTTTCAAATACCCATATGGTGATGAGTAAACCACCCTCCTGCTTTGGTGATCCTCCAAGTGTTGAGGAAAGTGAATTACTGAGGGGAACAAATCCATAACCAACAATGGGTGATGCTCCAGCACCACCAATACCAACAAGGGATGATGCTACAGAACCGCATAACCAGCAACCTGGTTGACTACCAAAAATGTGTACTAAAATCAAACAACTGCTGTTACCAGCTCCATTGTCAATTGCTGCCTCTGCAGCAAGCACATTTGATCCAAATACAGTGAGACCCCATGATGCGGATGTAATTGGTACATCAAGAGTGTCCTTAAGTCAAAATGTCCCTAAGTTGAGTCTCATTTTCCCCAAGACTTACATTACATAATTTTTAATTAGTGTTTTATGTACAAAATACTCACCATAATTCCATGAAAATAACAATGGTCTCCCAATGTAAACTGATTCCAATCAATATATTTCAACACAATATGGACAGTTGGGGAATTGAATACTGATACCTCTGTACAGTACATAGAAATGTTGGCATTCTCTCTAAAAATAATATTCAAGTGAAAAAGAGAGAAGGAAGTCCCTCTCTGCTGGAGGTGATTTTTTTAATTAGCTGAATTGATTGAGTTGGTGAGAGAAATGCCCAAGAACATTTCTTACATCAATTTTAGGGTTGGAAATATCTGTTTCTTGTAATTTGGCCTGAAATGTATTCGCAATTTTATAACAATATTTCCCTATGTCAAGTCAGTGTCCTCACGTTGGGACTTTTCAATTAATTTTTATTATAAAATAAGTGTCCCCATGTTGAATTGTCCGCAGGTCAAGGTGTCTGCATTTGGGGGTCTCACTGTGTAACTTTCCAACAAATTGTGATGCAATATTATCACAAGCCACATAAATCTGCAATGAGACTTACAAACAGCTGCTGATGTTGAATTTTGTTCAAACATATGTCACCCAACAGCACAAAGCTTTTATGGTGGCCTTGATCCATCTACCTCCCAGTCTTGAAATCATTTTGAATTTCAAGAACAGCAACAGACTGTGCAATTGTGCAAGGAACTGAATGCTATCATTCTCCAAACACCAAAACAATTACAAAATAACTGGCTTGCCCTCAGGCCTAAGCAAAATGTTATTCTGGGTGTACAATTCTCTGACCTTCCTGTAAAGACTGGAGAAAAAGATAAAAACTGAATATCTTCAATTTGGTCCAACCTCTATGTAAAATTTTTTTTCTTTCCCTGCCACACCAAATATACAAACATTCAAAATTGACCTTTTAAAGATTGACAATGAAACATATCTGTATTTTGTTGCTTTATCAACATATGCTTCAGCTACAAACATGCTGCAGCCTAGCTCCAATTTCATCAGGAACTTGACTGAAAAATGAAATGTTATTGCCATCCTTCAAACAGGGGATCCAGAAAATGAATGTTCATTTGAATGCTTCTGGCATTATTACAAACAAATCCACATCATATCTGCCAGGTAAATAACACCATTGACGCTGATCAACCTGCTCCTCCTCTACTTGGATGGAAAGCCCAGTAATCTTGTGGACCTACAACCAGATCAAACTGAAGAAAAGGACTATCTTCAAATTCTTTAAATCTTGTTTGGTAAATAAGGCAATATCCAAACAACCTGCAAACATATCTACAAAATATTCAAGCAACTAAAAACTGCCAGCAGCTTGGTGGATGACATGGCAAATTATTTGGAAAAAAATAATTGATTTCACAATTAACACCACTTCATAATCTATGTTCAAACATGTCTCAGGTGCATAGTTGCTTCTGGCCTATGATCAAAATGCACCTTCAAAAAGGAGAAAAATTGAGCTCAGCCTCCACCACCAAATTTCCCAACATAATTATCAACATGTCAAGAGACTCCAGCCAGCAATTGTTATTGCTGGACATTGTTGTTATCAATATCCATCCATGCAAACAATGAGACAAGCTCCTGCGCCCCTTCAAGCAATACCACCATGTCACTACTGTCATTAACATGCTGAATCTGAGAACTGAATGGTCCAACTTCACAAACTTCCTTTAATGAACTCTGCCAACTACTTGAACTGCTGCTCAGTGCTGCCATCTCTGAAAAACAGGCAAAAGTTTGAAACATTGTCCCACACCAATTGGGTCATGATAAACTAATACTGACCTTTGTTGATCAAATCAGCATTCTTGATTTTGTTGGACAAACCACCTCTTTTGACTTTCAGAGCACAAAAACTCTGCAACAAACCAACCAGAAGACAAACATTGAACTTGATGAAAGGAGACATATACTGTTGTTTGTTGAGGAGTTTGAAACTTCAGGCTGAAAATGGTTAATTGTGTTCACTCCACCTTATTTCACTAAAATCCAAATCTTTGCCAGCAAGATCTCTGAGGGCCCTTACACATTCTTCAAGTGGAAACAATGTTGATTTTGCACTCATCTTGAGAATTACTATCATTGCGTTTTCAAAATGCGATTTCACATAGAATTCGAAGTAAAAATTTGAACTGCTGAAGATTGTGAGCCATCTGGATGAGATGCTAAATTCATCCCACATGTCTAGTTGCAAGTAACAATTCCAGAAAATATTTTGGGCGCACTCTTCTCTGATTTTTTGAGGTATTTTTTTCTCATGGAGTATTTCCCAGGAAAAAAAAAAGAAAATTCCATTTTACAGTACTGCAGAGAGAACCCCCAAAAATGTTATGCAGATGTACCTTGATGATTAGAACTTTCTTATGTCAAATTTTTTTCAAGTTGCTGATGTCTGAGTTCCCTTAGAAACAATGCATTGAAAACTTCACTAACTTGAAGCTTTTCCACTTGAGCCTCCATAACTCAAATTTTGAAGATATCTTTTGGCTATTATTTTATTGACAGAGGGGATGAGAGAAAAGCAATGAGAATGTAAATTGATGTGTTTTGGAAGGAAGTTAAAGACTAGTTTGGCAAATGAACCAGTGCATACAAGTTCATCATCCTGTCAACTCATTTAAAACCCTTGGACAGAAGAGGGTTTCTGGCCATCCTGCAGCAAAGTTGGGACTTTTTCAGGAGGAGGGGCATTTCAGTTTGACAAAAGGTCTCTGAAATGCCCCCAGGTTGCCAAGGCCTAAGTCAGGAAAAATCCTGGTACAGAAAATCCCATTGTATTAAAAAATCCCCTATATATTTAATTCTAAGAATGCATGAAAAAATGCCACCCAGTGATGATTT